GCATTTCTCATATGGTCAGACAAAATATCGTCGTTATTAATATACCTAACAAACAATTGGGACATTCTTCAAAATCTCAGCCCTAAATGGAAGCATGGAAACATCGTATGAATACTCCTCCATCATCTAATTCGAATCTTCCTTCGAATCATAGACGGAATCCTTTGTCCAAAGTCAGCAGTCTCCCTTCCGCTCACATCGACGAAATTACCTTCACACTCTCTTTGTCCCTTTCCATAAATCATTCTGGTAGTTGTATTGTTATTTGAACATATATTTATATATATAACACAACTTCAATTCCTCACAGTCTCACATCTTTCTTCTTCTCCTAGCTAGCTAGCCATTCATTACCAGCCAAGACCATGGCGTTAAAGGTTCTTTCTGCGCTTGACGCCGCGAGAACCCAATTTTATCATTTCAAGGCCATAGTCATCGCCGGCATGGGTCTCTTCACCGACGCCTACGATCTCTTCTGCATCACTCCAATATTCAAGCTCCTTGGAGGCCTATACTATGACAACAAAGAAGTCCCCATTCAAGTCACCTCCGCCTTGGTTGCCATCGCCCTTGTAGGGACAGTGATCGGTCAACTCGTGTTTGGAACCCTTGGTGATTACAAAGGGCGGCGCCGTGTTTATGGACTGTCGCTGATGATCATGGTTCTTAGTTCTCTTGCATGCGGGTTCTCCATTTGCACGGCAAAACTTTGTGTCTTGTTGAGTCTGGGGTTCTTCCGGTTCTTGCTCGGGGTGGGTATAGGCGGAGACTACCCGCTGTCGGCAACAATCATGTCGGAGTTTGCCAACAAGAGGACACGAGGAGCGTTCATAGCAGCAGTATTTTCGATGCAGGGGTTTGGGATTTTGGCGAGCTCGGCTGTGACAATGGTGATTTGCTCCATATTTCATGCGACATCAGAGGATAAGACGCCGAAGGCTGTCGATATCGCGTGGCGGTTGATTCTGATGATGGGCGGCGTCCCGGCTGCATTGACCTACTATTGGCGGATGTTGATGCCGGAAACTGCTCGGTATGTCATTTGTTTTCTTTCATTTTTTAATTTTACTAGTACACAGTACCTGTTTCCTTTCTAGGTCAAATCTCTAATTTAGTCTCTGAATTATTGTGTTTTCTCGATTTGGTCCTTAAACTAAAAATTTTTTTGATTTGATCCTTAAATTATTGTACAGATCATTGATTTATTCCTACTGTTTACCAATTTGCCTCAAGTTGGTCTTTTATATAAAAACTAACTAATATGTCTTATTATTAACTTGACATGTGACCGTTAAGTTACTGTTTTTCATTATTAAATAACAAATATATCAATTATTTTTTGTATAAAAAGATCAATTTGAAGTAAATTGATAAATAATAAGACTAAATTGAAGCTCATACAATAATTTAAAAATTAAATTAAATTTTTTTTAATTTAAAGACTAAATTAAAATTTTATATAATATTTCAAGGATCAAATTGAGGTTTAACCTCCTTTCTATTGGTCCGACATCCGCTGTCTTAGTTTGACCCAGTAAATAAAGAAAATGTGTAAATAACTTTTAAGCTGTGTCTTTTTTCTTAAATACATAACTCCGAGGCATGTTTGGCCTCGTTGAAAGTTGACCTTAATTTCTAAAAAGAGCAGTGCTAGGGGCACTCGCTTTTTGCACTCTCCGGCCAACACTTCCCCTTTCATTGGGCCACGTAAGCTTCTTCAAAGCTTTCGGGCGCAACTTCTAGAAACTAAAATAACGTGGTCCAATAAAAGAGAAAGTGTTGGCCGGAGAGTGCAGGAAGCGAGTGCCCATAG